AGATCTTCAAGGAGACAGAGCAGAAACTGAATTTCTTACGACCACGGATGGAGAGATTTCACAATTGAAGCGAGAAAAGTGTTAATTGAAATATTTACTAGATTTCAGATGTTTCGTTTACTTTCAGTTGACTTATACGTTTATACGTTTAATTTTATTTTGTTTTATTACATTGCATGTTTTACTTTTTTCTTTGATATTTTTGGTTTTTGTGATCGATATTCTAATTTAATCTCAAAAAAAAATTAATCTGCTCGAATATCCAATTTGCTTCTCACTCGCTTAGACCTGAAGCTAATTTTGCTTTAATTTTATATGCTTTTTAATCAATTAATTTTTAATCTTAATTTAATTTAATAATCCTAAATTCAAATCTTTAATATTCTTGCTTCTTTTTGCCACTTTTTTGTGGATATCAAGTCTTTTTATTAGATTTTATATTTTCTTGATTGTTAAAATGTTTTTACGGATTGTACGATTGTTGTTTTATTTCCGATTTGTCCTTTTATTTCTTTAAATGTGTTTACATGCTTCGTACCGCACGTCTGCCTCTTAAAGAAGAACTTAGGAAACTTAATCTGACGGCGGGAGAACAAAAGATGAGTCTTAATAAAGAGAGGAGGTGGGGATCTAAGTAAACTAGCATCTAGGCCAATGACTATCCAAGTAAACTAGGATCAAAGCCTTATATGCTAGGACTCCTTGAAATCTGGGTGCCAGGAATTTGGTATTCAAGGAAGTTAGCATCCAAGCATGTTAGGACCCAAGAAAATTAGTACTTAAGCAAATTACCGTCCAAGCAAAGTGGGATCCTAGTAAAGTCACGTATAAGATGCTTCCGACTACGATCATCCACCAGGGTAGTTTTTAATGAGTCAATTTCCCAATCTTTGTCGTTGGCGGTGATAATAGCGGCGGCCGGACAATTTCTCGGAAGGGACCGAGTCCGAGGGAATTAATAAAAGTCCGAAATCGAATCTCCGTTTTAAGTAAAACACCTCACTCGAAATTATCTCAGGGGCAAGGTAGTACGGTGAACGGTTACACTTCCGCAGGCTACTGCAACAAGCGGGCTCGGGTAATCCGTCGAGTTTCCTCGGAAGGAAAGACTGGCCGAGTTTGTCGAAGGATCAACGGACTGGAAGGAAATGCAATCGGTCGCGAAACATCTTGTATCATCCCACGCTCTCCACGGCTTCTCTGTCTCCCCAAGTTTCCCAGGGACCTTTAACTCCGCGAATCGGCTCGCGGCGCGCATAAGCGTTATAATTACTGGTAATTATGTCAGTTTCTGTGTCCGGCTGAAAAATCCACTTAGCCGAGGCCCTCGAGTTTTCCTGCTATTTTCCTCTATTTCGCGCCCGGACGATTAAATGAATTATCTGCTAGAGAGAAGAGTTAGCGAATCTAATTTGTAATAACCGGTAACCGGTCTAGGCTCGGGCTTTCGGCACGGGTCACCGCGTTACCACGGCATCGGGAGTTTGCTAAAACCTCCGAGGCACATGCGCACCTAATTTATACGTTTAACCGGTTACCTTATTATCCCGACCTAACTTGCGCCGGAATTACGCGCCGATAATTATACACGTCACGTCCCGACATTCTTATGGAACAACTCGGGGGGGGGGGAGGGGAAGGGGGAAGGGGGATAATGAAACACATGTGCCCGCGTGCTTCGCCTCTCGCATGATGACGAGTAAATAAATAAACACACAGCGCGAACACACGGCGAGAGCAGATAAAATCAATTAAGGTCAATTTAGTAGATAATTGGTACGCGGGATTTATACGTAAAATTGTGGAATGAAAAAGCTGTTTGTGTTGCCGGGAATTTGAAATGAATTATTATTTCTTAGTGTAAAGAAAAAAAATACATAAAAAATTATGTACACAAGAGAAATATACGTTAAATAAAGCTGTTGATATTGATGTGCAATAAAATTGTACTGTAAAATAAAATAAAATTTGAAATGAAAATTTTTTTTATTAATAAATTAGACGCAATCTCAATATTATAATATTTGAATAATATATATTCAAGTTTATAAACATCTCTATAAACAAATTTGTATATATATATATATAAATTAATTTACTAACCAAATTAATATCACATAATTAATAATATAAATAAAGGAAATTATACGAAAATGCATTTTTAACGAATATCAGAAAAAGAACATGATGTCTGGATATTCTCTTGATATTAAAATTGTTTATTTTCATAACAGAGATTAAAATGTTGCTGCTTTTAGTTAATTTAATTCTCTATACGTGAAATTGCGCGCACCACAACAACATTCCTTCTATTATACGCTTAAAATGTTGCCGTAACACGATTATCGAACGGACACCCACG